AGATAGTTACGGCTAATAGATATATTTTAATTAGTAGATGTTATCGAAGCGGGAATTGGCATTTAGAGGGCGTATAGAATCTATTAAATCTAATATAAGAGAGTTAATTATATTGAACTTGCTTATTTATTAAGTGCGTTAGATAATCTATTAATTAAAAATACATTTAGAGAAGTCTACGGTTTTTACTGGCTTATAGAACAAACGAATACGAATGGACCCTAGACCACCGCTGACTGATTGCCCCTGGAAGTCGGCTTCTTATAGAAACAGCTTCCCTATCATCAAATGTCACGGCACGCCACTGGTGTGTTTGTGAATGTTTGTATATGTTATGGACCAAGTGGCATAAAATTGGATGCAACGTGTGAGATTTGATGTTGCTAAATGCAACAATAGTACGATATACAAAAAAATTTTGAACAATTTTTAATTAAACCATCTGTTATTTTAAACTTTTTACCTTATGGCCTTATAATAGTCTGAGATAAGAGGATTTTTTAATCGCAAGCTATTATGGGTTATACAGTACATATTTTTTTAAAACAGTGTTTCTAAAAAAAGTTTATAGAAATTCATTATAACTTAGCAAATAACTTTAAAAATAGTTTTATATTTATTTGTTAATCTGTTATATGTAACTGAGCATTTAAGGTATAGTAGTGAACTACCGGCCAGATGGCCGAGCGGTCAAGGTGGCAGCCCACCGCTCTGGGGACCCGGGCTCGAATCCGAACGGGTCGAAAAATCCCCAGGAATTTTTCGGGGGGGTATGTCGGGCTCCGTCTCTCACCACCTGGCAGCCCCATTGTGGGCCTGGCCGAACCCATAATGGGCTTGCAAAAAGAGGCCCTCCTAGTGCCCACAGGGCGGAAAGAGTTAAAAAAAAGTAGTGAACTACCATTCTGGGGACCCGGAATCGTATCCGGAGGTGTCGGAATTTTAGTTGGTTTCATGAATTTTAAAATTAACATTTGTCATTTTATAAATAATAATTACTTTAGTTCTTTTTTAATATTTTACATTTGAAAATTAAAATAAAACTTTTAGTGAATCACGTTAAGAGACATATTATTGCGTTCATTCAAACGTGCTGGTAACAGCAGATTGTAGGTGGCGAAGTGGTAGTTTGTAAACGAAAATGGCGACTGCCAGGGAGAAAAAGGTTAAGCGAATTAAGAGTCAAGAAGTTAGCCAAACTGCTGCGGTAACTAGTAATGTAATTATCATTATTCTTTTCATATTAACATTTAAGCCAGAAATAAGATTAGGTAATTATTTTTAAGCAATACACCAGTGTTTTGTCTTTTGATTTTATTTACAATCAAGACATATATGATAAACATTTCCAAAACACAGAATTTTTGAGTGATCACTCATATAAATAAGCATTTACATTTAAATAATAATACTTCGAAATTTCAATTAACAACACCCTACATAATTTCTAAGTGCTGGTCTGTTTTGGCACCGACCCTTCTGGCATTTGCCGGAACTGTTATGGCCAATCCACTCTTGTGATAAACTTATTCCCATTTAATAATGTTTGCATTCAGCATGAAATTATATAATTTAACTAGCTGTTACCCGCCACTTCGTCCGCGGAGGTTTTGCAAGCAAACCCCATTTACATTCAATATTTCAATAACCATAGTAATTATCATATAACACCTACCGCTGAAGAGAATTGCCGAGAATCAAACAAACTATCTTCAATTTGATCAATTTTCTGGAACGTTTACAATCGTTCTATAATCGAACCAATATGCAATAACAAATTTGAATTTAAAATGGATCGAACATTTTTAATTAAAATCGAAATAGATAAAAATATTTATAACAATGTCTGAAATGTTATAAATTTAATACACCTAAGTACTCAATGAAGACTAAACGTAGTTGAAAACAAAAAATCGTATCTAAAATAGTACAGTAGAAGCCATTTTCCGGTTAAGCCTTAATGCTCTACCTCTCCCCGCCGCAGGGAAATTTTGAAAAATCCTTCCTTAATGTGAATTCCCATGGCATACCCTACTAAAACGTATATAAAAAGAAAAAATCGCATCTAAAATAGTACAGTAGAAGCCGTTTTTCCAGTTAAGCCTTAATGCTCTCCCTCACCTCCCCGTGGGGAAATTTCTAAAAATCCCTTCTTATTGTGCATTGTCATGGCGTACCCTACTAAAACGCAGATAAAAACAAAAAATTGCATCTAAAATAGTACAGTAGAAGCCGTTTTTCCGGTTAACCCTTAATGCTCTCCCTCTCCCCCCACTTGGGAATTTCGAAAAATCCCTTCTTAGTGTGTGTTTTCATGACATACTCTAACTGTGTACCAAATTTCACTTCTCTAGGTCCAGCGGTTTGCTCTGGGCGATGATGAATCAGTCAGTGAGTCAGTCAGGACAAGCAATTTTATATATATATAGATTGACAGAAAATGTTTATTATATACATATGTTACCGTGAAAGACTGAAATTAGAGAATATCAATATTCTCTGGTGAATGTTGACACTTACCAAATATGTTGGTGAAAGACTGAATATTTAGTTACGTTATTATACATTTGAACATCGGCGGTATATGTCGACAAGCACAGATAAATTCCAGTGGAGGTCGAAATGACAAGCTGAGAAGACACAGCCAGAGAGAAGCGACAAAAATGCCAAATCCTTTGTTCTCTCTCGTCAAATCCTCTGTCACGATAGAGGTCACGTGGCATCTATTTGTTATAATCTTGAACACATTGCTGTTTGTCAGTCTTATCTTGGTGCATGCAATGTTTGATTACTTTTTATTTTTTTATCCAATACTCTAATTTATATTGAATGATTACTGCAGTGAACTGTGATCCTTTTTTTCTTTGAAAAGTTACGTGCATTAATTGTAAGTGTAAACAAGAAGACAGTTGTTTTTATTTTTTTCAAGAAAAGTACTCTAAAATATGTTCAGAAGTGATTTCTGCCAAAACTAAGTGCAGTACACCTTGGATTACAGACAATTAAAATGTTTTGACATTTTAAAAATTAATGATGAAGAGAAGTTAATTGTGCCATTAAAACCAGGAGAAATGAATATACAGTATTATGTTACCAATAATGAATTGTTCAGTACTCTATCACATCAGAATAAGCCATGGAGGAAGAACACATATGCTTAAAGAATTACAAGTTAAATACAAAAGTATTACATATGAATTTGTAATGTTGTATTTAAATTTATGTAAACAATGCAAAATGAAACATAGTGCATCTAAAAATGGTATTGTTGTGAAACCAATGGTCAGTTCAGATTTAAACTCAAGATGTCAAGTCGATCTGATAGACTTGCAGTCACATAGGGATGGCAATTACAAGTTCGTAATGGTATATCAAAACCATTTAACGAAGTTTGTCCAGTTTCGACCTTTAAAAACTAAGACAGCTGAAGAAATAGTGTATCACCTTCTTCAAATATTTTTAACATTTGGTGTCCCAGCTATATTACATTCAGATAATGGTAGGGAATTCAGTAATCCAGTCATATCCGAACTATGCGCTATGTGGAAAGATGTTAAGATAGTTCACATAAAGCCTTGTCATAGTCAAACAGAAGGCTCAGTTGAAAGGACCAATCAGGATATACAGAATATGTTAACTGCATGGATGAATGATAACAATAAAAATAATCAGATGGTTTGCCCTTTGTTCAATTTGCCAAGAACACAACATACCATGAAAGAATACATCAGAGTCCTTATGAAGCCCTATTTGGCATTAAACCAAAAAGAGGCATAGCAACGTCTTTGCCTGACAAGCAAATCGCAAATATTAAAACCGAAGAACAGCTTAAAGAAATTGTTAATACTTTTGAAGAAAATTTGAGCAGTGACCGTACTGAAAACCATATTCCAAAGGAAAATATTGAAGAAGAGCTGCAACCTACCATGTCTTCATATCAAGCACTGACTAAACAACATGAATTTATTTCTATAAAAAGAGTGGCCATGAAAGAGAATCTTCTACTGCAAGCAACAAAAATGTTGTGAACCTCAAAAAGAAAATTTCCTTCTGCTCAAATTGGTGATGCCGTATGAATACAAGGCCCTTGATGTTTTCGACCATGGTCGTACAGATGCCTGAAATGTGTTGGCGGTCATTGTTGGAATAGAAGACTCCAACTTTTATAAATTAGCAAACAAAAATGGTACCCTCAAACAACTTTATACCTGTAATCCATTCGTAATTTGTAAAGAAAAATTACTTTCTATAGACAAGATTTTTTCTCAAGAAATGTCGCTGAGAGAAGCAGTTGCAACTAATTCGAAAAGTGGAGGACAAGACTATACATGTTGTAATTGCAAAAAGAAGCATTCCACAACTAAATGCAGTTGTAAAAGCAAGGGACTCTTGTGCAATTTAAAGTGTCATAAAAGTTTAAGTTGTTGCAATAAATAAGATTGTATAACATTAATCACATAATTTATGTGTAAGTTTATTATTGGTATTATTTCCTTTTCTGATTTAGAATGTATTGTTCGTTTTAGGTTCAACAGTTTATTTACATGTGCTGTTACTTAAGCTTTCTCCTATGTTGACATGTATCATATATTAAAAAGTTGCATTTTTGTCTTAACGTAATAAAAATATTTTTATTCAACATTCACAATCAATGCATGCTGAATGTTGACATTTGCTGGTGTAAGTGAGAAATAATGAATAATGATATTTAGTGAATATTTCATACATACACCAAGCAACTATGTGAATGCTGATATTCACTGGAGAATATCGACATTTGCCAGATATTGGTCTTTCACAGTAACACATACAATGCACTCTTGCTAATTCAAACAACAATTACTGGTAATTTGAACAAATTTTATTTTATGTAGTTAAATTTAACTAAATATAGTATTAAAAATTTTAATGATCTACGTTTATGCATAGTTCTTTTTGACTTGTTTGTCTAATTTTTACATGGAATTATTCAGATTACTTGGGTTATATATAAATAACTCAACTAATCTGAGTAATTCTGTGTAAACATTAGTTTGGATTAGCAATTGTGTATTGTATGTAATTTTTTATCTAAATGATTAAAGATGTTAATAATCAACTATATAAAAATTTGCATTATAATAAATGAAGTTATATAAAAAGTAACTTTATCAAACATGGGATTATTGTTGAAGGAACTATAAATTTTATTTTCTTACTAATTGTATATATTTATTTTACAAGAAAATGTGTAAGAAACATATTTTTAAATACTATTGGATTATATTTTTGATAGATTCTATAGGATTTTTTATTTTTAATAATTTAAAGTAAGCTATTTAAATTATTTGGCTTTAATGTTCAGATGATGAAAGGACAGTCAGATTTGACCACAATAAATGTATGCATTTTGTATGTAGTTACATTTTTTCAGAATAAAATTTCTTTTAATATTTTAAAATTAATATTTAAAATTTTTGATATTTATTACTATTATTAATTTCTTGATTAAGATTGTATTTAAATTAAAGTTATTCAGTTATATTTTTCTTTTCAAATATCTAATTATAAATATTTTTAGTTTTATTTTTTACATAAAGTTTTTTAAGCTTTATTTCTTAAATAAATCAACTTACTTGATTTATTTTATCAAAAATTAACTGGATAAAAAATTAATTAGTTTTCTTAAAAATTAAATTATGACTTTTATTGGATCCAAGACAGTTAATTATGTTTATTGAATAATTTTTCAGATTGCTGATTGTTTTCTATTAGAAGAAGACGAATCCCAGAAAAGAGATGCTGATAAAGATTATGTCCTTTTTAAGAAAACTTGTGATGAAATTAGAGAACACATGAAAGAAATTTTGAGATTAAAAGAAGAAAAAAAAAGTGATGTAAGAAAATCAATATCTTATTAAAACACAAACATTTATCTTCTGATTCTATTTGATCTATATTATTTTACTAAATATATGAGAGTAATTCAAAAAGTGAAGGTAATTTTATTATTACTTGTACTGTTCAAGTTGATGCAAATTAAACAATTTATTTTTTAACTTAACCCTCGTTACTGTTACACACTTGTTTTAGTGGTCCTGAAACTTATGGATTCTTTCATAATAAGTTTTTCAACTTGGCATGTTGCCAATTGTGCACTGTTACTTTTATCTCTTGTCACTGTAAATCTGTGACTACATAGTGCTTCTTTTAATGGTCCAAACAAGAGGTCTGGCTCCCAGGGAAAGTTGATGGCTGTCCACTCACCTTGTCTGTCATGTTTGTTCTTCCAGACTTGAACCATTTGATCCATACATAAACTTTTCTGAGTCATGCAGCTGTTTCCATACTGTGCTAACATTCTTCAGTGTGTTTCTACAGGTTTTATACCCTTTATCTACAAAAAGTTATTATAGAATGTTGTTCCTGCAATGTAATCAATCATATTAGTAATAAAACTGAATAATAAGGAAAACAAAATGTTAAGTGCTACTTTCATAACAGTATGACCTTAGATTTCATTTGATTTTTGTGATATAAATTATATCATTTGATAAATATTAGGATTGATAAGATATAATATTGTTTATTTAAAAAAAACCTTTTTAAAAAATATAATAAAATCTAATTAAAAAAGATTTTTAATGGAATGGATATGAATTTTAAAGATATAATATCTTAAGAATCTTAATAAATCAGTTGCATTTTACATAGCAGTATTTTCCAATTTTTTTTCTTTATTGAGACCAAATGTTATTCATGACAAAATTTCACAGAACAAATCAAAGAAAAGCAATGAGATAAAATAGATGACACATTTTTTGCTTTAATAAATCAAAATATTCATTTGAATTAATACAGAAATTTTAAAATTAAGTAATATTTAAACAAAATACAAATATTTATATATTAAGAAATCAAATTAATGAAATATTTAACTTTTTTTTTTTTTTTTGGGATAGAATATTTTGAAAATCTAATTTAAATTTAGTTATGCTTAGAATTAAAATATTTTTTAAATGTACATCAGAAAATAAATTTCAATATTTAGATTTAATATATTCCATGTTAGAAAATGTTAGTTTGTTTCTGAACAGAAAAATAAAATTTTCCTGTTTATTACAGATTTTTGTATTTTCTATTTGGCAGCATAGAACTTACATATCCATTTGTAGTATGAAAGAAACTACTTTATCAGCATGTTGTTATTTTTTGATCAAGATTCTAGAATTTATATTATATATATATAATTAACAATAATTAAAGTAAAATTTAAAATAATTACCAATAGTGTAACTAGCTTATTTGCTTACTGATTATAAATAATTATATATCCAAAAAATATTTTAAAATATTGTGTGACACTGATGGGCTAGATAAAAATACTTTGCAGGTTGGTAATTATTATTTAGTAGCATTAATTTTGATATCATTAAATTAATTCATAGATTTGATTGTTGATTTGCTATGTAGATTATAAAGAACTAAAAGTAGCTATTTGGTTTATTAATTTTTATTAATGATTTAATAAGTATTGCTGAAATAATCTTAATATATTTATTCTTACAAATAGTGTGAAATATGTGATGATGACAAATCTAAACATAAATATTGTTTTATAATAACCAAATCATCAATAAAACAGGNCATAGCAGTATTTTCCAATTTTTTTTCTTTATTGAGACCAAATGTTATTCATGACAAAATTTCACAGAACAAATCAAAGAAAAGCAATGAGATAAAATAGATGACACATTTTTTGCTTTAATAAATCAAAATATTCATTTGAATTAATACAGAAATTTTAAAATTAAGTAATATTTAAACAAAATACAAATATTTATATATTAAGAAATCAAATTAATGAAATATTTAACTTTTTTTTTTTTTTTTGGGATAGAATATTTTGAAAATCTAATTTAAATTTAGTTATGCTTAGAATTAAAATATTTTTTAAATGTACATCAGAAAATAAATTTCAATATTTAGATTTAATATATTCCATGTTAGAAAATGTTAGTTTGTTTCTGAACAGAAAAATAAAATTTTCCTGTTTATTACAGATTTTTGTATTTTCTATTTGGCAGCATAGAACTTACATATCCATTTGTAGTATGAAAGAAACTACTTTATCAGCATGTTGTTATTTTTTGATCAAGATTCTAGAATTTATATTATATATATATAATTAACAATAATTAAAGTAAAATTTAAAATAATTACCAATAGTGTAACTAGCTTATTTGCTTACTGATTATAAATAATTATATATCCAAAAAATATTTTAAAATATTGTGTGACACTGATGGGCTAGATAAAAATACTTTGCAGGTTGGTAATTATTATTTAGTAGCATTAATTTTGATATCATTAAATTAATTCATAGATTTGATTGTTGATTTGCTATGTAGATTATAAAGAACTAAAAGTAGCTATTTGGTTTATTAATTTTTATTAATGATTTAATAAGTATTGCTGAAATAATCTTAATATATTTATTCTTACAAATAGTGTGAAATATGTGATGATGACAAATCTAAACATAAATATTGTTTTATAATAACCAAATCATCAATAAAACAGGTGTTTAATATAAAAAAAATACATAGAAAGGCTAACATGCCTTTCTATGTATTTTTTTATAAATATGTAAATTCGTCAGCTAATTTAAAAAAAAATAAATAAATAAAAACAGTTGTTTATTTATTTATTTTTTATATTGCTCTTCTAAATGCATGCAAAGAAATGTCGATGGTTTTGCTTTGTTGGTATGAAATAAATTGCCAACTATGTGATATTATTTCATCAAAATTTGATACTTCATAAAGTTTTATTTGATATATAAAGTTTTATTAATTAAAACTTTATATGAAGTATCAAATTGATGAAAAATATATGCATTTAGCTCAAAACCCTGGTTAGCCTAGTCATGTTAAACAAGTTCTGATATTCCAAACTATTGATTTGATTTATTAGATATATTTTATAATATATAAACATTAAAATTAAAAATCTTAAAGTATAAGAAATGTGGGCACTAGTTTAATTATATACAGTATATTATTTGCTAGAATGTTACTAAATTTTAATATAAGATTACAATGATTTATAGGCCCACCAGTATCCAAGCGATTCTGTTGCCTGAACTGTGGGAGTTTGGTTGTGGGTTTGCACCTTGCCAGGATGGGCTGGCCAAATAGTTTTTCAGGTTTTCTCCACGTCTGTAATGCCTGAATAGGGGACAGTTACCGTTAAAAAGACCTCCTGGAAGGCATCACACTAGGCAGAATGCCCAAGTGTTGTGTTGCCATAACCAAACAAAACAAACAATGATTTATATAAAATAAAATGCCTTTAAGTATAATATACAATATAGAAACTTAATTGTATATTAAAAAATATATAAAAATTTAAAAATGAATAAAGTTTTTGATCTTATTAAATCATTTTGATCTGTGAATAGCAAGTAAATGTTTTAATAAACTAAAAGCATATAGACACAAGTTTTGTGAACAGATATTTAACAAATAATCCATCAGGTTGAGTACACTTTTATTAATTTATTTTCATTTAGAATGACTGGAGCAATTTAATTTAATTTTTGTAGATATAAATATAATATATAATAATCATGAACCAGTTTCATCTGGTTCATGATTATTATATTTATATTAGTGGGGCCAATGCTGGCTTAAAAGTGATATTAAATTAAATTAATCAATTTAATAAGCTGCAAAACAACCCCTAAATTTTTCTCCACATATAAAACCTAAATAAATATATAACTTGTTTATGATTGTGTTTCTAATTTACATTTTAAGCTTTGATATTTACCAGGGGTAAAAGTAGGTGGATCATGGCTACTCAGCTTCCCTGTTTCCAGAGCTCCTGATAATAGTTATCAGAATATTTGATATACCTAATTTGATAATTTTATATTATATAACAAATTATAATTTTTAAAATATATGTACTAATACAAAATGAATTTTTTAATTTAGCTTTTATATATAGCAGAAATAAAAATAGGGGTTTTAAATTTTAAGCAGGTTATAATAGAATGGTTAAAAATAGATTTATTCACCTTTATTTTTGATCATACACATTTAACCTCGATATACCATTCTTTTATTTATCACCACTCCTGTAAAGTCTAACTAAACACTTTTGAACAAATCTTCCCATAAATGATAAACAGAAAATCTGTATATCAATAAATGCATTATTTTCCAATGCAAATGACATCATATCACAACTTCAAACTCTCAAAACTCAAACTTTTGTGTATAACCCATTACTATACTTAATTATTACCTGAAATACTTTGATTGAACACTGCATTTGATTTAGTGTCAATATCAAAGGTGAATAAATGATGGTGCTAAATTAAATTTAGAAATATATTTATTTATTGAATTATTTTAATGATATATTTTATATTTTAGACAGATGAATTTGAAGAACATCGTGTGAACACTTGCATGCTTTTTCTTGTATTAAAAAAATTAAATCGTCTTGATAAACACAGATGTAAGAGAGTTCGGGAATCTGTGAGTGAGGTAAAAATTTCAATTTTATTACGGGTATTATTTTTTATTTCTTATTTTTATAAAGTATAATATTTTTATAAATATTGTATATTATGGTTTTAAAATTTTTAATAATTTTAGAATAAAATTCAAAAACACTAGCACTATTTATTCAGTAGATAAGCTAATTACAATAAATTATAGCATAGTATTGTTTTGACATTAATAAATAAATTGAAGCAATAAACCAATATCAAATTTTTTATTATACAAAGATATCATATGCATTATTTAAAGAAATAATGTATATATTAAATATTTTGAATGAGAATTATGAAATTTTTAAACTAAAACATAAAAACTAGACTGAAGTGAATTTTTAGCATTCTCTTGATAATATTTAGAAACAGTAACCTTTTATTTCATCTTAACAGTAACCTTTTTTATAAATATAAAAAAACTTTTGTAAACCAGAATTACATAGTACCAAATTATTTTTCTGTTTTGGTAGGTTTTTGTTATGAACAAGTTTTAGTATTTTTTCCATTTTTGTCATCTTTAAACTATACGAGATAAATTTCACAGTTACATTCATTTTTATGTACTTCAAAATGATATTACTAAGCTTAATTCAAATTAATCCAAAGTGATTCTAACTAAAGATGGGAATATTTGAATGAAATAATTGAGAATTATTTGATAACAAAAAGTTCTTGTTGTTACCATAAACTTGTACTGAGTAATCAAATACTTCTCAGATACAATTCTTATGAGCTCACATGACAACAGACAAGACAATTGAATACAAAAAAATCTGCTCTGCCATTGGAAATTCTAATTGTATTACAGAAATGCAGAAATCGAATCATTCTGGGATCTTGTTTCCCAAGGAATTTTAATACTCTAATTATTTATATCAATCTGTAATTATCAGCATGTTAGTCAACTTTTTTCAAATACTCAGAACTAGCTAGTTACTAACTACTTTGTACAAGGTACACTGACAACCCTGTATTACCTTATTCTCACTATTTTTTATGAATTATATTTGTTACTTGTTTTTAAGAACTTGATTTTTGAAAACTCATTTATTTTAAAATATTCTATTTTGTCTCTTGACAAATATTAACAAAGACATTGTCACATAACCATTGCTGCTCTGACAAGATTCAAAATCATTCTCAGAATACAGTTTCATATTGCAATGACCATTATACCATGAGGTGATTTTACTTATTTGTCTACCAAGTGGAATCTTAATTTTCTGCATTATCCAGATTAAGTTACATTTTTCATACTCAAAAAGCTCTCTTACTTCCACATTAGCTAGGTTTCCAGCTTATAGTAAAACTCAAGCAAATTGTAAACTATAGTAAAACATAGCAAATTGTTCCATTTTAAAGTATTTTTCCTGTTTAGGTAGATTTTTATTCAGTTCTGTTTTAGATAGGTTTTACTATATTACAAACATTCTTTATTCTCAATCAGTGAAAGAATTGATTTGATTATACAGAGTATTCCAAAAGATGTACTATATCTTTAACAAGTGACAAATATTAAATGGTTTAAGATATTCCTAAAACTTCTTACTGCATATAAAATACAAAAAGTTTTTCTTTATTCAATCAATTTCTATATGTGCACCACATCTTTGGTGGCATATAATACTAGATTAAAACAATGAAAGTATTTCATACAGGTTTATCTTCTGGCTTTAACCCTGTAGCAGTTGAATTTTGTATTGGTGAAGCTATAAACATTCATATAAGTCACTATGAATTGTTGTACATAATAATCTTAACTGCTGGGATATCTTATTAGCACACTTTCATGGCAAATTCAAAAATAGTTCTGAACTTTCTTGACATTTATATTCTTCCTATATTGATTAATATGATAAATGATGTTTCTAATTTTCATAAAATTGGAGTCATCTATGAATTGAGGAAACATGATTTTTTGAAACAATTTTTATGATATTTTAAAGTTGTAGCATATCTTTTGGATCATTCTATACATCAATTTACCCTGAAATAATCTCATTAAATGAATGAGTATAAATTCATCATAGTTGTTTACTATATTTTATTTAAACCTATTGAATTATTTTGGTTTTATTTAAATTCACATTAAAAAGATAGATTTTAGGATAGATTAAAAACCATATTCTGTTTCGGATGTATTTAAAATGGTTTTATATGTGATATTTTTCTTTTTGCTTGCTATATATTTAATATCAATAACAAGTCTTCATTTAACATAATTGAAAAACAGATAAAGTACATTTGTAATCATTTATAATTATTATTGTTGAATGTTCTTTATAAATAGATAAAATTGAATCTATGAAGTGGAAAATGAATGCTGGAAGTTGCAAACATAATCCAAGTAGAATATTAACTGAATTATATCTTGTGTATATTATTTAGTCTTCAGTAAAATTGGCTTTGCTATATGTTGTTTTCATTAACCTATTGCTTATGTTAAGTGAGGACTTGCTGTATATCAACTGTAAAGCAATGAAAAATCAATTAACTTCAAATTATTATTATCATTATTATTATTGTAATATATTATAAAATTCCTATAGAACTTATCACACTACATCTTTTTATGCCGAGATAGTTTTATTGAAAAACTAATGTTTTCGGGCTACTTTATAGGCCATCCTCAGGCTTAACAATAGAAAAAAAAAACATTGGCATTCCATTAAAGAAAATACATAAGTGTGATAAGTTAATTATTTGCTGAGCACGTTTGTTTAATTCCTATAGAACTCAATGAAGTATTCATTACTCACTGATGATAATGAAAATTAGTAATAACTCCAAAAGTATTTTTTTCAATTATTTTGCACTGTTATCTTCCAGAAGCATAAATAACTTAAAATGATCAAATTATCAAAATTTATAAGAAGTAGATATCAAATGATGAATCAAAAGGAATCATCATCTAATACTCTTACCAGTTGAGTTAACTTGATTCAAGAGTTCCTAATAATTTTTAAGTATTAGGAAATTTTAACATGTATGCACAAAGTAATTTTTATGTATACTCTGTATTTGGTAGATGTTTCAAATAATTATTTTTCTAAGGTAATTAATTATTTTAATTATATTACGTTTCAAATAATTAAATTTATATGACCCTAGTAGAGAATTTGAAATTTTCTTTACATCTAAACTTTTAGAAATAATATTTTTAATCTAATGATAATTTTTTATTTGTTTTTTTTTGTTTTTATGGAGGTTGTAATTATATTTAATATTAAATTTAGGTTAAACAGAAAGTAGATAATTTTCATCTTCAACTTCAGAATCTTCAATATGAAGTTATGCATCTTCAAAAAGAAGTCACTAAATGCTTGGAATTCAGGTTTGTTTCTTCATATTTTAAAATGACAATTATTTCTCATTTACAAATATTTGATAGAAGAAACTACCCTATTGTTTTATAATTTATTTTCATATTGAATGTAAATCCGTTTTAGATTTTATTCAAGTGAACAATCGATCACAGTTGAATTTGTTTATACATGTTTGTTTGAAGCATATAAAACGTTAATATTCTAGACAAAAATTTCATCATAGAATGTTTTTCATTAATTAACAGAATTAAAGTTAGATAGAACTGTCAATAATTTTTAAAATTTTTTATCCAGTTATATGAGCTATTCTCTTGATTTTGTTCTCTTTATAAAGTCATTGTATAGTTATCTTCCAGAAGCATAAATAACTTAAAATGATCAAATTATCAAAATTTATAAGAAGTAGATATCAAATGATGAATCAAAAGGAATCATCATCTAATACTCTTACCAGTTGAGTTAACTTGATTCAAGAGTTCCTAATAATTTTTAAGTATTAGGAAATTTTAACATGTATGCACAAAGTAATTTTTATGTATACTCTGTATTTGGTAGATGTTTCAAATAATTATTTTTCTAAGGTAATTAATTATTTTAATTATATTACGTTTCAAATAATTAAATTTATATGACCCTAGTAGAGAATTTGAAATTTTCTTTACATCTAAACTTTTAGAAATAATATTTTTAATCTAATGATAATTTTTTATTTGTTTTTTTTTGTTTTTATGGAGGTTGTAATTATATTTAATATTAAATTTAGGTTAAACAGAAAGTAGATAATTTTCATCTTCAACTTCAGAATCTTCAATATGAAGTTATGCATCTTCAAAAAGAAGTCACTAAATGCTTGGAATTCAGGTTTGTTTCTTCATATTTTAAAATGACAATTATTTCTCATTTACAAATATTTGATAGAAGAAACTACCCTATTGTTTTATAATTTATTTTCATATTGAATGTAAATCCGTTTTAGATTTTATTCAAGTGAACAATCGATCACAGTTGAATTTGTTTATACATGTTTGTTTGAAGCATATAAAACGTTAATATTCTAGACAAAAATTTCATCATAGAATGTTTTTCATTAATTAACAGAATTAAAGTTAGATAGAACTGTCAATAATTTTTAAAATTTTTTATCCAGTTATATGAGCTATTCTCTTGATTTTGTTCTCTTTATAAAGTCATTGTATAATGACCCAAATAAACATATGAATAAAGATGATTTTAATAGTTTTTAATTTTTATATATATTTTTTAATATTTTTTTACCTAAAATTTAGTAAATTTTAAATACAATCAAAATTCTTATGATGATCATAACTACTGGTTGCTTTGTTTTCTTAGCTATATAAAATTTTTTGCATTTGCAGATTGATTAAATATTAAACATTATCATATAATTGTAATCATGCTATATATTAAACTATTAAGGAAATCATAATGTAAACTTTTTAAATCTTTATTCTTTTAGTTAGAAATATAATTAATTAATATGTTTTAATTAATTTAAAATAATAGATCAAAAGATGAAGAAATTGAATTAGTACCTGTTGAAGAATTTTATAAAGAAGCACCAGCAAAAATATCAAGGCCTGTATGTAAATGTTTTCTATCTCTTACTCATATTTAGAATTCAATTGGTATTTATGTTCAAAAAATATATTTATGTAATAAAAACACTTTAAAAATTATTAATATATAATTTTATTCATTTTATGGATTATTTTACAAAAAAAAAACATGAAAATAAAGAACTAAAAAAATCCATTATTTTTGCAGGTACAGATCTGCTATTATTATACTTTCATATTGTGATCATCATATCTTTATTTTTTTTTTAGAAATATATATTTGAACAAAAACAAATGTTTTGCTTTGTGTAAATTTCTAAACTTTAAATATATTTAAATTTTTTAAATTTATGTAACAGAAAACTGGAATAATTTCTTAGTATTTTGCATGTCTTTCTACAATCTGCAATGGCTTCTTAACTGCCATTAGGCTTTTTAAAAAATAATATTTCACATTTTTTATACTTAGTTTCTTTTATTTTGAAATTTGATATGAATATTTTATGAAAATTTTCTAAAATTTGAGTCTTTGGACCAATATTTCTATATATAAAATATTGAATGGTTACACTTCCATAATATAAAAGAATATTAAATATGAGAAATGTATAAACACAGAATATTATTTCTAATTAGTGTTTATAAACAAAATAAGGTGCATAATTATAAAAATTTCTATGTAACCTTTAATTCTCAAATTTTATAAATGTTTCTTAATATGTTATAAAAGCAGTTTTCTGTTTCTATTAGTAAAGTATTAAGAGATGCTTATAAAATTGGAGAATTAAATGCAAAAAAGATAAGATGTGGATCTGTGTATGTACCTTTGATCCAACATTATATTCCTGAAATGTTCAGGATATAAACTTGGATACTATATCTTAGAAATGAACATATTCAGTTATTCAATATAATGTAAAATTTAATAATTTTGCATTATAATTTTAGACAGAAACCAAAAATGATCCCCATCAATTAACTTTGGCAAGATTAGAATGGGAGCTTGAACAAAGAAAAAGGTAAACTTTTCATAAACTTTATCATAAATAAAAATTAATATGTAATACAAAAGCATTTAACAATTTTACCAGATTATCAGAAAAATTGCACAAAACTGAAAGTCAGAAACAAGAATATCTACAAGAAATAGAGAAAAAGAAAGAATGTTTAGAAAATTTACAACCAACATTGAAATCAATTTTAGAAGTAAAACTTAATTTATAAATCTATTATAGTTTTTTATTTTTAATTTATTATTAGAACTATTATTATAAAATTTCATGATGTTATTTAAATTTAAATGTTGTTATTTAAAATAATTGTTATTGGTAATAGTATCATTACATTTATAGTAGTATGTTTGAATGTAAAAAAATTATTCATTAGGAAAATTATGAATTTTTGGGTAAAATTCTTAATATTTATTAAATGTATTAAATCAGTTTGTACAAACTAAAATTTATCATCTTTCTATGCATGTTACTTCACATTTCCTAATAATAACATACATTATAATTAGGAATATTACAGTAGAGTGTTGATTATCCGAATCAATTGGGGACTGGGGTTGTTCAGAAAATCGGTATTTCAGATAACCGATTGTGTACAAAAATATATATTAATTTATCCCATGTTGAAATTTTTCTCTGTTGCATGTCGCTTTGCGTTGAATTTTTGTCTATGTTAAGCCTAACAAAGACTATTGTATCGTTAAAAATTATTTTTTTATTTTGTACAAACAAAATAAATATATTGAAAAATATAAAAACAATAAAAAAGTATACTTCAGAAGTTAATTTAGTATCAAAAACGTAAAATATTTGAGTAGCCCAAGACATAGCCAAAGATTGCAGTGCCACAGCACTGGCGAAAATTTAAATTTGCTGACTGGAATTCTTTCGGATAATTGATGTTTTGGATAGAACTGTCAATAATTTTTAAAATTTTTTATCCAGTTATATGAGCTATTCTCTTGATTTTGTTCTCTTTATAAAGTCATTGTATAATGACCCAAATAAACATATGAATAAAGATGATTTTAATAGTTTTTAATTTTTATATATATTTTTTAATATTTTTTTACCTAAAATTTAGTAAATTTTAAATACAATCAAAATTCTTATGATGATCATAACTACTGGTTGCTTTGTTTTCTTAGCTATATAAAATTTTTTGCATTTGCAGATTGATTAAATATTAAACATTATCATATAATTGTAATCATGCTATATATTAAACTATTAAGGAAATCATAATGTAAACTTTTTAAATCTTTATTCTTTTAGTTAGAAATATAATTAATTATATTTCTAACTAAAATATAGTTAGAAGTGTAATCAGTAGTGTTGATTATGACTTTCGGATAATCAACACTACTGTAAACTCAATTTTGTGATCTTTATAAAAAAAATTATCTTATGTATGTATGTATGTATGTATGTGTGTGTGTATATATATATTATATAGAATTTTGATTGAAACAATATTTTAAATTTTAATGCAAGATATATATTCACATATATATATATGTAAAGTTTCTTTGTCACATTTTTCGATGTCCGTCATTTGCACGTGGTCATTCCCTCTTGACCTAGAAGCTTCTGTCTTGACCTTCTTTTGTTCCACGCCTGCCCTATTGTCTTAACCACTTCCGGTTTTGGAGGATTAACTACACCCTTACATCCCCCTTAGATCCAAGATTGGGTTGTTGTACAAACATAACTTGGATATATGGATGACGTCTGACGGTTTTCCCTTTTTTCCCTCTCTATTTCATATAGTACATTTGATACTTGTCTTATTAGTTCTCGTAGATTCAATTTTTGCTTTGTAGATCGATTCTTGACAGGTCTTTGTGTTGTAGAACTAACCACTCTATCCATTTTTGAAGTTCTAGATTTGTCTTGTGGTTTCTTTCGTAATTTCAAATGATGGAAAATGTAAATGGATAATCTTGTTATTCCTACAATTGTCACCAGACCGACGATAATTCCTATTAAAATACCCGTTGTTAGAAGAATAGGGGTCGATTTACTCAAACATTTGCTGCTATCTGTCAAACAGATAAAATTTGTTGAATTATCTTGAAGGACATTCAGATCTGAATTGGATAATTCATCTGGTAATGTCTCTCTTAACGTTTCTTGCACTTTTCGATTTCTGTCTCTTAACCCATTTAAATTTTCAATATTGTTCACTTCTGTTCCTTTTTCGTATTGAGAACCATTTTTATTTGTATTGTTATTGTTTCTTTCATTAATACTTTTAGGGAATTGGCCATTTTCTATTGTGTCCTTGATTTTGATTTCATTTAGTTCATTTTCCTGAATACTTTCCTCATTTGTCCCTTCTATTTTATGATTCGTTTCCTTGCGATTTGTCTCCACTTTTTTACTTTCGCTTCGTACTTCGTTGTTTTCGACCTCAGCGAGATTTGCTTTCCCCTTTCGTTCAGGCGGTTTTCGCTTACTCCAACAGTCTCAAGCCCAATGGAACCTATTTTGGTATCCCAAACTCTCACAAATCTTACAAGTGTTTGGCTTTCTTTTGTGTTCCGAATTAAATTCTTCCGTCCCATAACCAAAATTACTCCTGGAACTTTTACCTTACTCCTTGTGGACTTATTGATTCATTTTTGTTTTAAATTTTCTTCGATTCTCAGGCTTATTTCATAAAATTCTACAAAAGTTTTTGGTCTTACGGTTACGAAATATTCCACCATTTTCCGGGGTAACCCTTCTATCCTTAGTGGTATTATCTGGAAGTCTTTCAATTGCACTAACTTCCCTAAGCTTTTTTTTTTCTTCAAAATAATTTTTCATTCCTATTTTTGGGTCATATTTTAACCTTATGAAATCCACGATAGGCTCAGTGGTTTGTAATCTGAATCTCCCCACGAAAGTTTGTTTTAATTCTCCCAACTCTGATTGCCCGTGTGTTTGATGTACCAATTTAGGGCATCTTCTAGGTAATCTCCCATTAACATTATTTTGTCCTTTTCACTCCATCCCATGTATTCCGTCACCGTTTCAAATCTCCTCACCCAATTCTCTGCCTTAATCATGTTGCTATTACCCTAAAATGTTTGAATTTTTGGCTTACTTTTCGGGGATTGTGTATCCTTTTCTCTTCTACTCATTTGTTCTGCGTAGGGTTCGTCATCTCCGTAGGTAATCCTTTTCTTTGGTTTCATCCTGTCAACTTGTAAAGTTTCTTTGTCATGTCTTTCGATGTCTGTCGTTTGCACATGGTCCTTCCCTCTTGACCTTTTGTTCCACGCCTGCCCTATTGTCTTAACCGCTTCCGGTTTTGGAAGATTAACTACACCCTTATGTATATATAATATACACAAATATAAAGGTCTACCATATCTTTTGTCAGTCTCAAATATCACCTCTAAGCCATTCTTAGTTGTCATATTAGATTGCATTTGAGTCATATGCTCAGATTATACTACAGTGTGAATTTATATAGTCACTTTAAAATCTTTAATATTTTATTCATTTAATACTAAAAAAGTAATTCTTTTTTCTCTTAAATTTACCTTTATTGGTAATCAGTGGTCTTATCTTGTTTAAGAAACTATTAATAATAAATGGCCATTTCAGTTGGTCATCTGATTTAATCAGCATTCTGTTTTCATTTATATATGTTTTAGACTATGGATGTTTAAAATACATTGTAAGATAATTTATAATTTAATTCAATATGTTGATAAAAGCCAAAATAAAATGAAATTGTTTTCCAATAAAAAGTTTTTGGAGCATGCTTGCATCTATCTTATTTGACAAATGAATATGTTAGAATTTATACAACCCTAAGACATTATCATTTATTTTAAAATTTTATTTTGGGAAATTTGAATTTAGCAAGAAAACTTCTAAAAATGTAGAGAATAAACTGTCAAGATAATTTTATATAATGCTTTTTTGCCATTAATTTTGCTTTTTTTATTATTCTTTTGTTTAATTAATTTGGAAAAATACTATGGAAATACATCTAAAGTTTAATTACTTTTTAAATCTATGTGATTATATTTATCTACATAACATTGTATGATTAGATGTCATTGTGGGTAATTTCTTCAAACAGCATATTAATTTTTAACCATTCCATAAAGAATTAGGTATACTATTACAAGCAACTCAATTACAACATAAATCTGCAGAATTTCTTCCTCGTCCTCGTCCTCAATAAGGAACATAACTACTAAGTTTGTGCATGTGCTTGTATGCTTTTTCAGTCAAATCTTTTAAATCTATAATAATAAAATTTAATAATATTGGAATATTATTTAATTGTCAGTACTCTCAGTAATAAAGAAAAGAAAAAGAGCTTTTCTACATTTAAATACCATTCCTTGAATTTATTTATAATTTTAAAAATTTACAGAAAATGTTTTTATGTAGTGTAATGTTTACACTACATAATACAATATTTAAAATAAATTGTGCATGGAAATATATTCCATGCACAAATGATAGTTGTTTTTGTAGTTAAATTTCTTATTATTGTGTGCAAATACATACATGTTTTATATATATATATATATATATATTAAACTA